ATTATTGAATATGTTGTGTTTTATTAATGATTTTGATATAACTTATTGATGGATAATATTTTAGAATATGTTAACATTAAAATAGTGTATAAATTAACAAATTGAATACCGATTCTACCCTTTTTGCATAAATAAAATGAATATTAATTATTTTTTAATTTTTAATTTCCTAAAATAAATTGATATAATCTAGGCCATTGATCGAGAAAATGGACGGATGAGATTAGTTTACACGGTTCACACAAATGGTTCAAGTTTTCATTTGAACGCTCCTATATATATATATATATGCAAATCATATATTTATAAATGTTCTCTTATATATATATATATATATATATATATATAGAGAGAGAGAGAGAGAGAGAGGAGCGATCAAATGAAAACCATTCCAATTTGTAAAAACAGTAAAAACTACTTTCTTCCATCGTTAATCTTATGAAATTTTTTCATGAAATTGTTAATCTTGTGAAATTGTTTCATATAATATTTTTTTTTGATGAAATTGTTTCATATGTGGTTATGAAATTGTYTCATATACTACTTAATGAAATTTTAATGAAACTATTTCATGTATTTCTCTTAAATTAAAATAATAAAGATGGTAATATCCATGATTAACATCCTCCACAATAAAAATGGTTAATCAACCTCTCATAACTACAAAAAATGAACAAAAATGAAAAATTATGATTGGTTGAATGAGGTTTTCACGGTTTTTACAAATTGAGTGGTTTTTATTTGAACTCACCCCTATATATATATATATATATATATATATATATATATATATTTCACATGACCGAAGGTTACGAAAATGATTGGCCCGAAGAATTTCTTTATAATATCCGACTGTTAGATCTCTTTCTTATGAACCAATAAACCCTCTCGGTCAAACCCCTCCGCTTATCCAACAAGGAGATGCAGCTTATGATTAGCATGATCAAAGCAATGATATTGTGATAGAAGACTGAAGTGAAAAAAATGGTCAAGAATATCAACTCAGTTTCCAATCACCCTTCCCTTGGGAGACACCAGAATTTATACCACCCATGGCGGTAATGAGTGAGCAAATAGAGGATGCTGAATTTGGAACTAATCTAATAAATGAAGCCATAGTACCATTAGGATTAAGCCACGTAGATCTCAATATTCTCTTAGATAAAGTAACTGAAAGTATTCATCAAACCGCAATAACACAAGGAGAGATATATGTTCAACGTGTGTACATTATGCAATTGGAAAATGTTAGATCCCATAGTGCAAAATGTAAAAAGTAATGAAAAACAATAAGTGATGAAGAACCAGAAGACCGATGAAGACATCAAGACAGAAAAGACTAAGTCTGGATCGATGGAAAGACTAACCAGAGCATCGATGGAAAGACTAACCATCGAACCGATGGACCAAGTACAACCAGCAGATCGATGGATGATGCGATGGAAAGTATATTCATCGATATGATGGACGGACTAACACTTAGAAGATTTTCTAAGTATTCATCCAAGCATGCATTGAAGACTTGACGATAAGGATGAAAGCGCCACATTAATAATGACAGCTGGAGATGACTAATCAACAGCTGGAATTATAGTTTATCTTGTAAATAGTGATTATCCATGTGAAAGATAAACATTATTAGTTAGTTAG